TTCACAATTCTGGCTTTCAGCAGACATGCCATAATATGTTAATATTATCATTATTATATTTTATTTGGGAAGAGTTTAGTATGGAATTATAGATTCTGTCTGGGTTAAATTGTCACACAGTTCCTGTGTTTGCGATTGCTGACTGATGAACAATATTTCATGCAGAATTTGTATGTCTGTGATCTATCTACTTAACAAAAGTCACATCCATAGTTCTAACGAATGATATTGCTATTACACCAAAAGACATATGCACTTTAGGCAGTCTTATTTCCGCTGTCTGCAATTCAACAAAACATTATCTGTATACGGGTAAAAGTTGCATATTTGTCGAAAAATCTGTTATCGCATGTAATTTCAAGGCTATAGGCTAGATGGGATTAGTGTCCCAAAATTCAGATTTGCGGGTCCGCCATGCTGTTATTACTAATTTCAGAAAATTCAAAAGACGGACATTAGGATAAATTTTAATAGCGTAACATTCATATCAATTTTTGTAGAAGACGGCGGACACATACAGAGCAATACGTTTTCATAAACCTACATTTCTTTCCCTAAGACAGGAAAGGAAGCCAAAGAGACCGATAAGGCGAAAAGGTAAAGCTTTCTCTGTAAAAAAGTTAAAGGTAAAGCTATTCCTGTAACAGGCAGTGGGAGTCCATAGGATTGTGAGACCTCGAGGCTCACACATGTTCCAAATAATCGGGTCAAAGATAGCGGTGAGGTCAGCCTTGCCCGCCGGCCGCCCTTTAATACACTAAACTGAAAACTCTAAATTATTTCTTAACAACACATATTTCTAAATGTACAGAAAATTTGTGTTTTAGATTAATCACGGGTTATTTAACGGCGCTGTAGCAATTACAGAAGTTAAGTGTTTGGAGTAGCATTGTAGGGCAAACTTATTCTGTTGATTGTGGTGTCCGAGTTTTCACTTTGGCTACAGAAGCATTGCCACTATTGTCGTATTATATCTTCCATCCTCTTAAAGATTATCTCCTTGCGTAATGGCACGTCGTCACTTTATGTGGCTGCCTGTACTTGACTCAGAATATTCTTTCGACCGTTCCTTCCATGATCCTCCAGCCCTTCGGCGAAAAACCTTCCACCCCGTTCTATCAACATGGTTCTTGCATATCTTTGCATGTGTAATAATCTTTTCAATTATTATCGGTCTTGCACATATCCCATACTAACTCAGTCGGTATAGTAACAGGCTACTTGATAGGTTTCGGATCGAAGTAGGGGCAAGATATTTTCTCTACTCCACAGCGTCCAGACTTTCTCCGGGGACTACAACAGCCTTCTATCCAACGGGTACCGGGGGCTCTTTGCCTGGGAATAAAGCGGCCGGGACGTGAAACGCCATATAATGCCGAGATGAGGAAAGGTAGTTCTACACCTCCAGTCCGCATACATCTTCATTGAGTGGTGTCACAGGGAAAACTTTGGGGAACACTGTAGCGTAGTTGGTTGAGGCAATATGGTACAAGGCGGAAGGTCGCGAGTTTGATTCCTGATGAGATCACTGGATTTTTTAATTGACCTAACCATTCCAGCCGCACTGTAGCCCTGGGGTCGACTCAGCCTCTAACAGAAATGAGTACCAGGAATCTTCCTCGGATTAATATAACGATAGCCATTGTGTTTCCGGGCAACGGGTTTGCTAGTGGAATGAGCAACTAACAGCGTTGGCTGGCATAGCTAGCCTTCTTCATGAAGCTGGCTTATTATGGTAGCGTACGCATCTATGTGTAGGAGCCGGGATAGCGCAGTCAGTATAGCGACTGGCTATGGGCTTGACGACCGAGGGGTCGGAGTTCGAGTCCAGGTTAGGATAAGAATTTTTCACTTATCCATGTCGATCGGACCCAGCCTCCTATTAAATTGTACCGGGGGCTTTTTCCCCGGAGGGTGAAACTGACCACTCTCCTCCAACTAGTGTGTAGGTCAAGAAAATGTGGAACTATACATCCACTCCCCCATACGCCTGCATGGCATAGAGCTTAATTAGTTAAGCACAGGGAGAAATTTACCTTTTACCTTTACATATATATGGTTGAGACTGGGGATTATTGGGGCACAATAAATACATTCCAGACGAGTGATACAGCTTGTCCTTACAAATACCGTCTTCACCTTAAATTACGTTTATTTGGCACACACACACACACACACACACACATTTAAAGGAGAGTGTAGTTTATGTACATGAACGAGTCTCGAAATCTTTCACTCCATCTCACTGACTGAGATGATCCAGCAAGAAAGTGCTCTTTCTGCGACACTTTAATTGTTCAGTTTCCTCTTACGATCCCTAATTCCGTTTTATTCTTCTTCTTCTGCTTTAGCTCTAGAGATTAGGCCCTTTGACCTGTTTCGATTCAGAATTAACTTCTGAAATTATTAATTTTTAGACAGTTTGAGGAACTCATTTCCTGTAAGATTGGAACATCCGAAGACTTCCACCTGCAGAGGGTAACACAGACACAGAATAAATGCAAACAGACATCCATTCCCCGAGCGAAATTCGAATACACGATCCCAGTGCTTGGGGCGGTGGACACAGTACTCGGGTTAGACAGCGCGGCTACTATGGCTGGCATTCACATACTTATAAATAAGATCTGCTCACATTTGAATAATCATTGAACACGGGGTAAGAGTTCTTACCGGGTAAGAGAATGGATATATTGCTACCCTGGTGGTACCTGGTTCATATCAGACTAGTATCCGATTATGTCGAATTATGACCATCTTGCCCTCTTCTGCACTTGTATTTATAATTTCTTACAAGAGTTCCGATGAATGGCAGAATAACACCCAATGACCATTACATTAATCTGCTCACAAGAGATGTTCTCTTCTCCAGGAGGTTCAAACCGGTTCTGGGGCTCATCCAGCGCCCGATACATTCGGTACCGGGGGCTGTTTTCCGGCGATATAGCGGTTGGAGCGTGAAGCTGACCACACATCTTCACCTAGCGCCGATCACAAGAGTAGTATGCATGTCTTCATGGCGTGATGCTTAATTAATTAAAATCAGGAATAATTTTACCTTTATCTTTATGCCAGCTCATGACCAATGTCTGATGTGTTCTGTCACAGAAATTTGCAGCGTCCTCACTTCAAGATGTTAGAGTCTAAATTCGGGAATTAATGGAGAAGATTTTGATTGTTTCATTCTGTACGTACACTTTGACCCTCGAAATATGTGTGAAACTCCTTTAAGGATAATGGCGACATACGAATGATATCTGCAGATGCGTCAGTGACCCATGTAAAGGTCATGCCTGCATGGCATAGAATATTTGGAAGGGACATATCGGCCCGAGATTCGAAGAAGGGACATTCCTATACGAAGCAAGGGGTCTAGCCAGTGCACTACGACCTCTGATATTTACGTACAACAAGCTAGTTCTTAGGATGTAACGAAAGCAATTGCAAAAATTATACTCAAATCCAGTTTTATAATTTCCGTTTTGACCAACAGACTCCCTTACTGCATTCCATAAATACTTTTAGCGCAACAGTGACACATATGAAGATTCTGAATCTAAGATCATTTAATGATATTCTGTCATCTAGTTTCGGTTATTGAGTTCCGTTTCTCCTCAGCCTGGTATCCTACTCTGCCGACTACGGACAGTTCTTTCTTTGTTCGATTATAAGTGTATGTTTTAATTTAATATGTATTAAATGTATATTACATAGAATTTTATTATTATATTGTCACGAATTTAAGTCGTAACACTTCTGATACCAAAATGTCATGTGTCCATTGTTCCATGACTAATAATAACGGGTTAGTATTGGATGATCGGATTTGACACCTTCTTTTACAGTTACAATCAATTACAATAACTCACAATCGATCTACTGCCGAGAACTCGCTCCATTCCTCACTGGGCAACGGCTGTCTTCTGTTCTAGTCTTTCATTTGCTGTTACTGACTTCATTCTGATTTACGAATCGATCACTTCTTCAGCTTCCGTTGGCCGCTGTTCAACACTCCACAGCTGAACATTCAGCTCAACTCAGCTCAACCCCTGGACTCTCATACGAATGCCGAATGGCAACTCACTAACGAATGAATGCGTCAGAGTCAGAGCCAGAGTCAGAGTTGCTTTACGACTGGCAGTTTACCGCCAATCACTTCGTCTTGGCGTCAATCCCCTTGACACTCACGACCAGAGATATTTTTTTCTTCAACTGAGTCCTTGCGGTAATAGTCCTTATGTAACATCCTCTCTGACTAGAAGGTGGGCTTGTCTCTTTTGTATATGCTTGGCCTTATAGCAAGTTCCTCTGTTATTCTGTGCTTATTAGTTGCTGCGGAAACGTGTCTATCGACCCGATACCAAGCCACGGACGTCCTTATAAAATAGAGAGCGTAACCTCGGGAACGTGTTTTCCGTAGCCGTTGCCTAGCAATGGTCATATGCGTCAGAGTAGCTGTTAATGTCCTGTAATTTTGTTGTACTTGTTAAATACAGTAAAATATACAGAATATTAAAAATGTCTATGATTTCGAATTGGTGACAGCATCTTCAGAGGGGAAATATAGGCCTATCAGGACAGATGACATGAAATTATCGCGTCGAACATAATTTGAATGAATCGTAAGGCACGGTGTCAGTATGCTCAACGTAGTGTATTAGAAGCTGACTGTCCTTAGACTTCCAAATGCTTAATCATATTTTGCATTCGATGTCTTTAAAATGAATAGTATCAGTGTTTCTTTAAATAAAATCGATTACTTGGCAAGAAATGGGATGATCGATTATACCGGAGGATACGTTGTTGGCATTTCACACCAATTTATTTTAAAGAAAAAGATTTGAGGAAATATTTTTCTTCACACGGAATTATTAATTATGTTAATTTTGGCAACGTCGTGAACAGGGAACACGTGCGCGCGCACATGGCCGTAAAACTTTGGCGGGCGGCTCTCACGAACAGTTGACGGCATATCGTCTGCTGCACTCTGCGCGGTAGCCTCGCTGCGACGGTTGCGCTGGGTTTAGTCTGTAAATTAAATATTCTGTCGCTGTTCAAAACATCGTAAACCGTACTAATAATAACAGAAGGCGCAGTAATAGGCTTAGGTTCGTGTTGTCATTATATATCGTGTGAAAATATTTGTAATTATTACGTAAATAATTACTGAAAGACATTTCCAACAGTTTGAAGAAATAACCATCACCTGGTTGAGTGCCGGACCTGTCTGCATTGATCAGTAAGGTAAGGGAAGATTTCAGTTTAATTTCATAACAGTATTTAAAGACGCGGATTATACAGCAGAGCTTACGTAAGTGTCCATGTGTCGAATATCGAATATGTAAATTGTCATTTACGATTTTCCTGACGTGAACGTAGCGATAACAGTTTTACAACAGGTACTCATATGTCACACCCAAATTTATAGGATAACCTCAAACCTTAAAGTAAAATGTTTCTTGTAAAGTACTCATACTATTTGAACTTTACTTATGAGAACGAGAGAGAGAGAGAATGCATTATATATTCTTTCTTGTTGCAAAATATGAAAAACAAGAGCCTTTATCTGGAGTAAATAAATCAGTTCTCTGTGTGATACCAGAATTCTGGAATAACACATAGTGCACTGGCTCCGGCCTCTTATTTGTCTGTGTCATTGCAATAAACACGTGGACATACACTAGGTTTCATTAGACCCCGTGTCTCGGCAAAAGAAACATTTCCATGTCAATCTGATATCGTTTTTACACATGGTTTTACTGAAGTATTGCTGCAGTCCAAGACCATACGATAAATGAACCGCACGACCGCTATGATAGATTTCAAATTGTAAATTATAAATTTGTCGGGCTGACTTAATCATTTGGTTTCACAGAAGCGTGGAATTTTAAAACTGCACTTGTGAAGCTTGGATACTAGACGTGCGCATTTTGTTTGTAATGTAAATGAAAATTGTTAGTATAGGGTCTCGATTAGGACACTACTGCTTCATTCTAAACACTTTCCAATTAATCATTCGTAACCAATTTACAATTGGACACTGCATAGCCTAGCTACTGACAGCATCGCAAAATAAACGTGTTCGTCTGTAGAGGTCTGGAGCATCGCAGGTGTTTAAATCCAAGTTCTTACTGCAATTTACAAGTACTCTACTGTCAAATGGGGTGATTGTGCCAGCATGGGTGAGCACAAAGTAACCGATGCTGGCTCACAGAGTGAGCCCATTTGACGGCAATGGTGGACTGCATCTCTTTCGAATCTCGCCATTTAAATCTCGGTGCTTTATAATGCAGGGGTTCGTAGCCAGTGTTACCCGAGCCTGTTGGAGGCAGCTGAAAAGTACGAGAGTTCGTCTGGGTAGACAGCGACAGGGGAAATATTCAGGAAACACGTTGACCCGCAGCAGAACGGAGAGGGGCGGTGACATAGTTTTGAGCTTGGATTTCCCTCTTCCCCCTGTTTCCCCCTTTCAGTCAATTTATCGAATAACCATCACGTTATTTCAGTGCCTTTGTGTCGTGTTTGTGCTACAGCAAGTATTGTTCGGGTGCGGTAACACAGGTGGAAAGAAAGCGACGTGTCTTGTGGTAGTTGCGTGCTGAAATTCACGCTGAGGTCTGGGTTCTGTTTGCCCGCTCAGCTTGGCTCGTGGTCTGTGAGGGAACTCTCTGCTTTAAGTGCTAATTTCACCACATATCTCCGGAAATTCCGGCATACTTTCCAATAAATGAAAAGGCATTTTTTCACAACAGCTGATAAGAGCTGCGTCAATTTTTTTTTGTAAATATATTTCTGTATAAAACAATTTTATGAAAAACAAGAAAGAAACGCAGCTCTTAAAGCCTTTTTGTGTATCGTGTTTGCAATTTCACTTTCTCATAGAATCTGTGCGGAAAGCATGAAAACAAACATGTATTTAAAGCTCCACCGGGAACACATGTTTTGCAACTGTCTCACTGCATGAGTAGTGATGTCTGCCTGTGGGTGAGCCAGCTTCCTTGTTTTGAGTCTGGCCTCTCGAACTCGACGAATAATAAATGGCGACTGTAACCATTTCAGATTTATGTACTTCAAGCGATATCAGATTGAGACAGAGTTGAAAATGGGGGTGGTTGCCAGTTGACACTGTCTGTATGTAGTTCAGAGCGCCTTTTTACGAAGCTGTTTCCATTGCTTAAAGATATCAAATGCTGCAGTTCCTAACAGAAATAGATGCAGGAACGTTTTCTAAAATTTGCTATGCAAGTTCAGCCTCTATGTACCACACGTACCCCAGTTTCACACTTATTCATTTGTTTAATTCCAGCCAGACATCTATTCAGTTTGAAGAATGGCGTCTTCTGGGACGTGGTGCCGTGTAGATCTTGTGTGCACCGACGTTTCGGAGGAACTTATCACCTCCATCTTCAGGGGAGAAAATCCGTGAGTGAGGAACCAGCGTGAGCAGGTGGCTCCAGACTGCAATCTACCCTGAAGATGTAGGCGATACGTTCCTCCGAAATGTCGATTCACTCAAGATCTACACGGCGCTGCTTCCCAGGAGATGGCATTCTTCATAGTCACCGCCGTGAAAATCTCTTCAATTTGTTACCAGGGTGCTGCAAGGTTCTTTACACACCAAGTAGATTTTCTGCTGATTATGACCCACAGAGGGCTTAAGAACTCACGTGAAGAACAGAAAGGATACAGTTTTACACATCTGGAATCTTATAAATTTAACAGTGCCTTCGGAAATTCTAGAGTTGGTATTTTGAAGTAAGGAATTTGAATTTATTTTTCTCTCTCTCTAGGAATGTACGAATGCTTTTCGAAAGGGGTCCAGATGTGGACATGGAGAATATGTTTGCTATTAAGAGTTAGCAGCTGGTGGTCCGCGGTGATTGGATTACACATGGTTCGCGCATTCACTCACTTTATGAGGACAGGAAAGCAGTTTTAGTTCGACGGAGGAGAGCTTTATATAGGGAGTCAGTGTCAGAAACAAAGGTTGCATGATCAAGCAGTCTGTCAAAGGTAGTAAGTAAGAAGAGTGTAGGTCAGTTAAGAGCCAAGAGTTTGCATCACGACATTGAGCAGTCAAATATTCGTGAAATAATTTTAGAAGCATAACCTGTGCCATCTGCTTCAATATGCGTCTCCTAGTTAGAAATTCAGACCATAACTTATATTTACATTGTTACCAAAATTTTAAATTAAGAATTAGTTGCGTCACTTGTGACCATGGAATGGCGCCTCCTCAGGTTGCGGATGGAGGGAAGCACAAATTCCGGCAGAATTCATTCAAGCAGGAGACGAAATATTACGTTCTAAGATCCACAATCTAATTACTTCTATTTGGCATAAGGAAAAATTGCCTGATCAGTGGAAGGAGTCTATTAATGTACCAGTTCGCAAGAAGGGTTATAAAACTGACTGTAGTAATTGTCGAGGGATATCACTGCTATCAACTTCATTCAAAATTTTATACAATATTCTTATTTCAAGGTTAAGTTCATATATAGATGAAATTATTGTGGATCATCAGTGTGGTTTCGACGTAACAGATCAACTACAGATCAGATCTTTTGTTTTGATCAGGTACTGGGAAAAATGGGAGTACAGTGAGAGAGTACATCAGCTATTCATAGACTTCAAGAAAGCCTACGATTTGGTTAGGAGGAAAGTATTGTACAGTAATCTCCTAGAGTTTTGGGTACCCATGAATCTAATTAGGCGGATTAAAATGTGTTCAAATGAAACATACAATAAAGTTTGTATAGGTAAACATTTGTATGATAAGTTTCTTATCCAGAACAATCTTTATTTCACTGCATTTCAATTTTACTTTAGAATATTCCATTAGGAAGGTCCAGGAAGACCAGGTGGGACAGAAATTAAATGGGACACATCAACTGCTGGTCTATGCCGAAGATATACATCTATTGTGCGATAACATAGATACCATAAAGAAAAACACACAAACTTTAATTGACGCAAGTAAGGAGGTTGGTCTAGAAGTAAACGCAGAGAAAACTAAGTATATTTTGCTGTCTCGTCACCAGAATGCTGGGCAAGATCATGACATAAAGATAGCTAACAGAAGTTTTGAAAATGTGGCACACTTGAGAAATTTGAAACGACTGTAACAAAATCAAAAGTTCAGTCAGGAAGAAATTAAAAGGAGATTGAAATCGAATAATGCTTGCTACCATTCAGTCCAGAACCTTCTGTCTTCTCGTCTGCTGTCCATAAACATAAAAATTAGAATATACAAACTATAATTTTGCCTGTGGTTCTGTATGGGTGTGAAAGTTTGTCCGTGACATTAAGGGAGGAACATAGACTGAGGGTGTTTGAGAACAGGGTGTTGAGGAGAATATTTGGACTGAAGAGAGATGAAGTGACAGGAGGTTTGAGAAAACTGCAGAATGAGGTGCTTTATAACTTGCACTCTTCTACAAGTATAATTAGAATGATCAAGTCAAGGAGGATGAGGTGGGCAGGTCATGTAGCCCGAATGGGAAAGAGGAGGAATTCATGTAGGATATTTCTGGGGAGGGCAGATGGAAAGAGACCACTAGGAAGACCAAACCATAGGTGGGTGGACAATAATAAAATGAATCTTAGAGAGATAGAATGGGATGTTACAGATTTGATTGATCTGGCTCAGGATAGGGACCAGTGGAGGGCTCTTGTGAACACGGTAATGAACCTTCGGGTTCCATGAAATGTTGGGAAATTCTTGGGTAGCTGCAGATTTGGCGGCTCCTCAAAAAGGGCTCAGCTCGAAGAGTGAGTGAATGAGAATAAGAAACAAGCAAATACGTGTAAACCAATCAAAGTCCTGCTTTATGGAGGTGTCACTAGAGCAGCTTGTCATTGAATTATTTGCTCTACCGGACGAGCCACCCCATCGTCGCGTCAGACGAAGGAGCATGCCTGATCAGACGTTATCATCAGAAAATATCTCTTGGCACCCAAATAAGCTCCCTTTCGTATATTCTCCACTCTCAGACTTGGTTTCCCGTATACCCAATACATCATAGAAGGGCGGAGCTTTGAGCTGGTTGCCGACTACAGCTGTTGTGTGATCGGTGACAATGCACAGTATTCATCAGCTTCGTAATATGGTTTGGTCGTATCCTCGTGCTTTTCTGCTGGTTTAGAGCGTCTACCTAGTTCCGGAAAGCTATTTCTGCCCCCGCGTTCAGGTCAAACAGGCCCATGTACAGAGCTTAAGATACGTAAGCCCCTGTAATTTGATC